TTCTAGTGACCTAGCGTTCCGCACTGCCGTTTGGCCAGCCCATGCTCCCGTACCGTTGCGTTTCTCCCCAATGCGCCATGCCACTTTGCCAGTCATACACACGTTTCGATGCGTGCCCTGTCAGCTGCTTGCGTTGCATGTCGCCTTGCTCCACCCCTGTTTTATTGCTTTCTCTGCTTTCGCCCGGTTCCCGTCCCGTTTCGGCGGGGAGTCTATGTTGCAAGCTAGTTCTTGCTTTACCAGACTTTAAGCCCACACAAGCAAGCAAGCCTCTCCCGCCAGCGTGCACGCTCAAGTCCTCCACCCTGCACCCAACCTTTGCTCCCCATTTTCCACTCCCCTGCCTCCGCAGCCTTTGTGCTGCCCGCGATCGTCCAAGCTGTGCTGGAGAGCCGCATGTTCCAGGCGCACCAGCGCCTGCGGCAGCAGCAGGGCCTGCCCCCAGAGCGCGGCTTACAGGCGCGGCTGTACGCGGCGATAGCAGAAACGGCAGACTTGTTAGACTGGCCGCTGCTGGTACTGTTTGCCTGGCTCCTGATGGGCATCCTCTTCGATGCCTCGGTGCTGCTCTGTGCGGGGGTGGCACCACAGTGAGGGCAGCAGCGCTTCAATAAATGATTCAATGCAATTGTTGGGGGTTTCATTGTTTAACACTGTTATTTTGTTTGCTGTTTTATCTTCTTTCAGCAAACCTTTCATCTATTATTCATCCTGCTTCATTGCATTTCCTCAGCTGATGTTCGACGCTCCCGCGGCGGGTGCTCAGGGTGCAACACGGCCGCACCCATCAGTGTGCTGCGTGGCTGTGAGTTTCACGTGCCTGTACAAGTTTAGTACAGGGCTCGCCTTGAATCTCACACTGCTAGCAGGCTTGCTCTCGTTGGATGGGGCGGGCGCGCCTGTGACGTGGCGCCCGCGGGCGGGCACCACATGAAATGTCAAGGCAGGCCCAGAGAGCGTCTGCGACCGCATCAACCGGCGTCAAGCTTCAATTGAAGGTCTCAGAAAGCTGCACTCAATCCTAGTCGCTCACCGCAACTGCACAAGTCGACAGTTCTGTCACGCCCGCGAGCCCAACCTCCCTGCTCTTGCAGGCGCAGGGATGGGAACGGCCGCCTCGGCCGCCAATGCGGCAGCCCGAGCATTTCGCCCAGCCGGGTTCCTGCCGCTGCCGGCGGGCGCCGCCGAGCCGCTGACGGTCGTCACCTGGGTGCGTGCCTGTCCAGCATGTGTTGCCCGCTGATGTGGCACCTCCCCCGATTCGTCTGGCTCATCAGGCACGCTCTCTCCCGCGATCCCTCCCTTTCCTTCGCCTTTCAAAGTCTCTAAGGCTTCTATTTCTCCCCTCCCGCACCCCGCAGCTGCCGCAAATTTAAAATTATGAACCAACCTGTCATCCTTTATGCCTTAGAACGGCGCCAAAACGGCGCCAAGAATGTGTTTCTCACTAAGTCAGATGTAGAGGGCATCATCCGGATCAAGCAGGGCGACCAGCAGGCGCCCTCAGGCCGGCGGCGGCGGGGTGCGGGAGGGGGGGCGGCAGTGCAGGGCGGCACCAAGAACTACAGCAAGAAGGTGCTGCAGTTCTTCCAGGTGCTGAAGGGCGCTGGCGGTCAGGACATCCTGTGCCGCTGCGTCAAGCGCAGCGGAGAGTGGCGGTGGTGCCCCGTGGTGCCGCTCGAGGAGCTGCCCCGAGTGATCAAGGAGCACCACGAGCGGGCGACTGGCTTCAGCGGTGTGGAGAAGCTGTACACACATGTGAGTGATACAAGGGGTGCAATGCTGCCGCCAGACCAACTGGAGAGTGCTCTGCATCAGGCAGCAACCGGATGCATCGCAGCAAGCACGGGGGGTGCGGCACGGCCAAGGTGGCGCTGCCCTCCTCTCCATCTATCCCTCCTTCCCTCCCTCACGCCGCGCACTCCCCTGGTCCTCCTTTGCTGCTCTGCTGCCTTTCCT